CCAAGATTCCACCATGGGTTCTTCATTTCTAACTCTCTCCCTTTAGTACTTGTTTCACCAAACTAAGGCATAATTTGAAAATCCAAATGTTGCCAATTTCATATTTTTCTCTTCATTGTACTCATTGCAAGCAAACATATGTTCTAATTTTAACTCTCTCCCACTCCAAGTAAGCTTCAGGATCACTTCTTCCTTTGAATGATAGGATATTTAACTTAATTGAATCAACTCTAGGTTGTCTTTGTTCTCCTTCATTCTCCCCTATTCTTCTCCTATGTCTTTTTCTATTTTCATGATTGTCTTGTTGTGCTTATTCCATTTGATCTAATCTGTCATGGAATTCATTACTTTATTATTTCATTAGTCTCTCCAATTATTGAGTCAAGATTTCTATTTGCATTTGTGAAATTCAAGTATTTAGTATTTTCCCTACCATGCTTCAACAAACAGATTATCCTCATAACACTGTCTCACGTGCATACACTTCACGCTCGTATTTCACTCAATACAACTCTTTTATCAATTATCACATTGTCTTTTACCACTCATTCTCTACTTGAGGTTCTTAAAAAAATTAATATTCACTCTTAAGAACTGTAATGACAATACTAAAAAAAGTAAAAATAAAAAAAAGTAAATAAAAAATGTTAGTATCCACAAAAAGAGAAATAATAAAGAACAATTTTGCTACCAAGAAACAAGCAAGACCATACAAATTAAAATAACACACATGAAACAAGAATTTTAGCAAACAATTGATGTGCATTGCACTGGATATAAAAATTAATAACTTTTTTTTAACTTCCTTCTTTCTCTTTTTTTTTTTTTTTTTTCTAAATTCTCTCTTTTTTTCCCAACTATTTTTCCTCAACTCTTTTTTCCTTTTTGTTTTTTTTTAATTATTTCTCTCTCTTTTTTCAACTTATTTTTGAATAGTACTGTGAACAGTGCGGAACAGTGTCATGAATAGTACATAAAAAAATAGTGAAATGTGTACACAACGAAACCTTGCTCTAATACCAAATGATAAAATTCCAAATAGAATTGATACAAATGATTTAGGGTTTGGAATCAATGAAAAATAGAAAATTAGGAATTGAGAACGAAATAGAGAAAATATGAATAAAGGGAAGGCGTCACAAACAAAGTTTGATAAATCTGATCACCACAAGAATTGGTGAATTCTCAATAAGATCGAAGATGCTAGGAAGAACCCTATTAGAGAAATATTCTCGCTTTGACAAAATTCATCTGTTAACTCTTTTCTTAATTCAACAATCATAAATACAAAAAATTAGGGTTTTGGGTTTTCTTGGGTTTGACTTTGTTTATAATAACTTTTATTTAACTTCTTTCTTTCTCTTTTTTTTTAAAATTCTCTCTTTTTTTTCAACTTTTTTTTAACAGTACTGTGAACCGTGCGAAACAATGTCGTGAATAGTACATAAAAAAACAGTGAAAGGTGTACACAATGAAACCTTACTCTAATACCAAATAATAAGATTCTAAATAAAATTGACACAAAAGATTTAGGGTTTGAAATCAATTAAGAATAGAAAATTAGGAATTGAGAACAAAATAGAGAAAATATTAATAAAGGGAAGGCTCACAAACAAAGTTTGATAAATCTAAGGATGATCACCACAATAATTGGTGAATTCTCGATAAGATCAAAGATGCTAGGAAGAACCCTATTAGAGAAATATTCTCTCTTTGACAAAAGTCATCTATTACCTCTTTTCTCAATTCAACAATCATAAATACAAATATTTAGGATTTAGGGTTTTCTTAGGTTTGACTTTGTTTATAATAAAAAGAAACTCAAAAGAATTAAAATTAATTAAATATTAAACTAATAGTCTTGGGTTCAAATCTCATCTCCACAAAAAAATATAAAATTATTATTTTTATTTTAACTCTCCAAATCTATTACACATGTAATCAACTTAACCTCCTCGGTTACTCCGATCCTTGATCGTTAGGTCTCCCATAAAAGAGTCATCTTCTATTATAAAGTTTATTGGCTCTTTCTGTTTTTTTCTTTAGTCATTGATTCAATTAAGTGTTCAATTAAATTTGTATCTTTCTTCTATTGGGTTTGGACTTTTATGTCCACATGACCGTAAGATGTTGTTTGTAACCTTGATGTTAAACTCTTTATCTTTTGTTTTATCATGAAGCTTAGGGGCTAGAATATCTATTAGACAAAAAATATTGATATTTTTTTTTAGAACAACTCTCCTCGCTTATAATGACTCAAATTTCAAGGATAGTATATTGATAAGGTCTTAACATGTAAGTATCAATTAAGTAAGTCCTATATTATAATTAATTATCACATGATTAAGTACAAAATTAAAATGATACGAGGTCTCAACAAAGACCTCCTAGATAAAATGCCCATTTGAATAATATAAATAATAGTATTTTAAATATAAACACTAATTATTAATTATATCATTTATTACATCATATATATACTTTCACTACTAGGAATACAAAATACTTTTTGCATATACCCAAAAAATATATGTGAAGAAGTGTAACGACCTTACTATAATGATGTCTTCGCAAAATAGTAAAAAGTAAATAACATCTATATTATATTATATTACATTACATTATCGTAATTGTAATATAGATCGAAATCCCGGTTCATTGACAAAACCTCAAAATATAGTATCATAATTTATTTATATAATTGCATACAAAAGTAACTCCCACAAAGATCATCCCACTGAACTATTCTTGTTGCCCATTAGTCGCATCTCCACCTCTCAACTCTTGATCTGCTCCCACATAAAAGTGATCATCACAGTCTCATCCACATGGAAAAATAGGGAGTAAGTATTAAATCATTCAATATAATAAAACAGATATAGAATTAATAATTACATATCATCATCAATTACAAAACATCAATACACTAGGACACCTTCCGGAAGTCTACCTTAACTATGCCAAAACTCAGAGACTATCATCTATTGACACATTGTGGTCGGTACTCGCAGTATCATTCTGACCACTCTCCACACAGAGTGAGATTACTGACGTCTTTCATCACTCATCCTGGAGTACCCCTCCGAACGTGCCACCAACCATCCCCTATCGACTTCTTACCACCTGATCTCGTAGTCTACCTGACCTGACTATAGTTAGTACACTAATGTACTCTGTACCATCCCGAGTACCATTCAAATATAACAATCATTTACATCTGTTTGATTCTGGACCACCTGTCCTCACGACTCATTTGGGTCAACAAATAATAGTACTTAACTGATTCTGGGCACCAACCCTCCAGTTCAGTCTAGCCAATACATAACATCTCATGACTGATTCTGGACATCTGCCCTCAGGCTCAGTCTGACCCACACACATTACAACACACTATTGAATTTCTAATTCCATTCTATATTTATTGTTTTCCTAATATACCTTTATTTCTAAAATTCCAATTATATCCTTAAACATTTTCTATTGTTCATTTCGCATTCCAAAATCATTAAATTACTATTTTGCCCTAAATCTTTTCTCAAAATTCCATATATATATCCCTAGGATAACTATTTTACCCTTAATCTTTTCTCATAATTGCTTCCATGTCCTAAAATGACTATTTTACCCTTGAATATTTTATATTATTCTCTTCATGTCCCGAAATCATTATTAAATTACTATTATACCCTTAATTTTTTTTTCAAAATTCCATTTATATCCCTAGGATGTGAAATGACTATTTTACCCTTGATCTTTTTCAAAAATTCCTCTCTTACCCCTTTCTTCAATCTCGCGTCCGATGACCATATCAAATTTTCTAGATTTCAAAATTTTCAGTTTCAAACAACCAAACTAGTTCCAAATTCAAATTAAACATGAGATATGTCTATTTTAACTCAAAAACAACAATTTTACCCTATAATTCATCCTTAATTTAAAAAATTTGAATAAAATTTCAAACTTTTAAAACCTGAAGATATCTTCAAAATCAGTCATTCAAATAATTCAGATTTCTACTCCTATTCCTTATTCACAAGTACCAAATAATTCAGTCTAATATATTGAATAAATTACACTTTCATTTACTTAGTGTGATATTACTACCAAAACTTTCTCACTTAATCCAAGTTCTCTCTCACCATGAGTAGAGTTTTGTTATTTGAAATTGGGAAAAAAAAGAAAAAGGACGAAAAACGCATGATATAAAAAAAAAATCACTTATTGCAACTCTTTCCCATTCATATATATATATATATATATATATATATATATATATATATAATTTGACTGGAGGAAAGAAACTTCGCTACAAAGTTTTTTTTCACTATATAATATTATTATAATATATAATATATAATATATAATATAATAATAAAAAAATATACGTCTCAACAAAGTTTTTTTACTATATAATAGTATTATCATATATATAATAATAATAATAATAATAATAATAATAATAATAATAATAATAATAATAATAATAATAATAATAATATACCTCACAACAAGTCGTCACAGTAAGTAATGAGAAGACCTTCTAAAATCCACTTATGATGACTAAATATACAAAATGTTTTATTTTTAATATTAAACAATCCAGTATGATTTTGATTTGATTTTTTTTTATAACCTTACAGTGAAAATCTCTATATTATAATTTTTTTAAACAATAATTACAGCTATTAATATAATAACAATAAATATTGAATTTATTATATATATTATTATTATATTATTTAAATGAGATTATAGGATAAAAAAACAAATTTGCATTGTGAACTACGAAAACTTAGAAAGATATTAACAAAAAAAAAAAAACCTAATCATGAACTTAGAAAGTAATGTAGTAGTGGAGCATCCGCGTGGACGACAGAAATATGTAAGTGCAACTGAAAAAACGAGACGTCCTCAGTTCCCTCTTTCACTCCACAATCCATTTTCTACCACACTGCAAAATCACACTTTCAAAGTTTCTCCCTTTCAACTCCCCACAACCAATGGTGGTAGTTGCATTATCCTCCTCTCTACCAGCCGGCAGAAACCTCTTCTCCTCCTTACCATCAACACCGCCTCTCCCCGACCGCACCGCCGCCGTCTCCGCCAGTCCACCGCCGCCAATCCCCGTCCCCAAGTATCCCCCTCCCCGTAAATCCCAAAAACCTCCTCAACCCCCGTCCCCGAACCCCGGTCTCAAATACCACCGCCACTCCAAGTACCACAAGCGCGTGCCGCGCGACGGCGTCGTCATCTCCGATGACGCAGACCGGTCCGTTATTATCGGTGAGTCCGGCGTATCGTACCTGCTCCCCGGCGCGCCGTTCGAGTTCCAGTTCAGCTACTCGGAGACGCCGAAGGCGAAGCCGATAGCGATCCGGGAGCCGGCGTTCCTGCCGTTCGCGCCGCCGACGATGCCGCGGCCGTGGACGGGGAAGGCGCCGCTGAAGAGTAAGAAAAAGAAGATTCCGCTGTTCGACTCGTTCAATCCTCCACCCCCCGGCACGAAGGGCGTGAAGCGTGTGGAAATGCCGGGGCCGTTTCCCGTGGGGCACTTCCCGAAAGAGGGCAAGACGAGGGAAGAGATTCTTGGGGAACCTCTGAAAAGGTGGGAGATACAAATGCTTGTTAAGCCCATGATATCTTATAATCGCCAAGTTAATCTTGGAAGGGATGGGTTAACGCATAACATGCTGGAATTGGTACATTCACATTGGAAGCGTAGCCGTGTCTGTAAAATTCGTTGTTTAGGTGTTCCAACTGTTGATATGGATAACGTTTGCCATCATATTGAGGTTTGGTATCCCTTCTCTTTTCCTTAAGATTGGTTCGTAATTTTGTGATTGCAAAATGTATTTTCGTTTAATCTCTGAAAATACTGATACCGAGTACCAACGCTTGCACCAGATCATTCCTTGGCATTGATTGCTTCACACGGATTATGACCTAGAAATGAAACACGTTAGGATGGCCTGTTTCTTCAAAAGATAATTTTTTATGATCTTAATTTAGTCGCAAGTTAATTTTAGCTTATGATTTCGTTTTTTCTTTTTATTTTCTTCTCCTTGGATAGAAAACTATTACGCTATTTCCAATGCACAAATTGCTCACAAAGATTGCTTATATAGTTAGGCATAACAAAATTTACAATTAGAGTAACTAATTGCTTAAGAAAAAAATTGTGCTTTGACAGAGAGAAATTATGGAGAAAATATTTTATGCATTAATATGAGGTCAATTGTAAGACTTAACAATCACTTTAGTGCGAATTTTTGTATGAAGTATTTAAATATATGTGCATTGTAAAGCCTACAAAATTAACATATGCAACTCATTCAATCACTCATGCATTGTGGATGCTCTTAGTTGAAAATATTTTTTCAGTGAATTTTGAAATTGTAGTCTTTTGATAGTTTTTTAAAATTCACCAGTGGCAAATAACTGATCTTAAGCACTAGTGAACATATGATTTGGCTGTACTTGAGTGAGTAGTAAATTAATTTTACTGGGGCGACTGGCTTTGAAAGCTGTTGTAGCCTCTCTTCTCTTTTCACATGATTTTTTTTTTTAATTTTCACCAAAATAATAAGAAATTGTTCTGACAGGTTCTGTTTCCTGGTTGAGGCATTTTTTTGTCTTAAATAAATTCTTCAGTTCATATACTGAGAATAATTTTATTGATGCTTTTACTTATTTTTTGCTCCTCTTCCATTCAATCAATTATAAGCAATGTTGACAGAAGCAATAGTTTATTATGAGCCATGAATGAAAATTGGTTATTGCTTTTGTTTACTGTGTCAAACTTTTTATGTCATGACAGGAGAAAACAGGGGGGAAAATAATTCATCGAGCAGGTGGTATAGTGTACCTTTTCCGAGGCAGAAACTACAACTATAGGACTCGTCCACAGTATCCAGTGATGCTCTGGAAGCCAGCTGCTCCTGTTTACCCAAAGCTTATAGAAGATGCTCCAGGAGGACTAACGAAAGCTGAAGCTGATGAATTACGGATGAAGGGGAAAACCTTGTTACCAATTTGTAAATTAGGTAACCATCTAATGGGGTTCATTTCTGTCCTTTTAATTTGCATTAACACATAGCATGAAGAAATTTAACAACTTAGTATTACCGTTTTGTCTTTATTTTTGTCTTGCCTGGAGCAACTAAATTATTTATTTTTATATATTTTAAACGGTCATGCAAATAAATTTTGGTGCCATTAATAGTTGTCAGTTCTGGAATTTCACAGTTCATTAGGATTAATAATTGAGAGAAATGTTTCAGAATCTGAAGTAAAGAATGATTTTTTTTGTACCCAGATCCTTATTGTGTGCCAATGTGGTAGTAGCCTTAGGCTAGGATTAAAAGATACAAAATGGATGATTTACTTAGATATTCCAGAGTCCTGGATTCTTCCCAGTCACTCTTCAAATCGTTGCTGAAATGATAAGATGACTTATCAACTTCCCCACTTTTTTTATAGGCAATATGCCATATATCTTCTACTATCTCAGCTCACCCAACCAATCAACTAACTAACTCCCTCACTGACAGACATGTGACTAACTAATAGAGGGTATTTATCAATATTATCGACATATCACTGCCTGTAAGGACTGAAATGTAGGGAACGTAGTTAGGGTTTATTAGTGCAACTACTTCGTTAAGGGAACTAGTAAAATAAATATGGAGAATAAAGATGAGAAGATCCATCCAGAGTACTAGTGCATTTGTAGGGGAAACTCTTGGAATGCAATTCTTTCTGCATGTCTCAGTCGTACTGTGCATTTTATCTTTTTCTTTGTTTGTATGCATCAATCTTTCAATGCTCTTTCATGGCTCAATAACAATTTTTCCAACCTTCTGGATCTCATTGGTGAAGAAATGGAGAATTTGATCTCTTGAAGAAATGACCAAAGGTCAGGGGCTACAGTCTCTTTCATTAGATTCCAGAATTTATGAGATTAAGAAGAGTATTAATGAAGTTGAAGACCTTAAGTAGTAGAGGCTGCATAAGTTGCTGAAGAAGTATGGAATTGATAAGAGGGGGGGAACTGGCGAAATCACAAATGTGGTGAGTGAGGGCTTTGCTGCATCATAATTGAACAAGAACAGGGAAAATCTGGAAGAAGGGTGTTCAGAGTTTGGCAAAGATGAACTTGTTCTTGGTTGAGATGATCCTAGTTTCAATGGAAGTGTTGCATTGAGTTGGATGTCAGAACAGCAAGAACCAAAACCAGAACTAGAATGGTTGTTGGATAAGGTGCTGGCATAACAAGAAACAAAAGTGGATCAGGGGATGACCCAGCGGTAGAGGTGACAGAAGTAGAACATGAAGAGGTAGATGCAACAATTAATCAGGGTTCTCAAATTTTGGTAGTGAGGATTACTCACCCACCTTTGCTTTGGAATAAGATATGGATCAGGATAGTGGCACGTGACAATTATGGACACGTGCAATAATGAAATTCCAGAAAATGGTTCAGCTTTTTTACAAAATTGGCCAAGCCCAATCTTGCCTTACTATTTATGTTCTTGAAAAAGTCGATGGACATTGCAAATCTGTTCATTCAGGTCATTTTCTTAATAATGGGCAAATCCCAGATTTTTGGGCAAACAAATTGTTATTTGAAAATAAAAACATCTGACTTGTTGCAGGTTTGAGTCCTCACCCGTCGTTGAGTGAAGAAAATGTGACTTCTCTATAAGTGCACTGACCCTTAGAACATCTTGCTTGGACTGAGGCACCATCTCCTTGCCCTAAAAATTTTATTATAAAGAAAAGGTTCATGGTTTCTAATTCAGGCTCAATCAGATAGATGCATTTACTGTACACCTTTGGGCCCCAGAACAAGCCTGGATTCACCATGTTTTTCTCATCTTCCGGCCGAAAAAGGCAGTATGAAAGCTATTTGGTAGGATGTATATCTGTTTCATTTTCATTATCCAGGATTTCAACCTTGAGGGACAATGATTGTTGAATTTCAAGGGACATGGTATTATTGTTAGGACAGAGGGGAAGAAAAATAGTTAGAGACGTTTAGATGGTTAGTTAGTGGGGTGCAGTTACATAAAATAGAGGGGGATAGATTAAGGATGGAAGGATCTATTCAGATAATTAAAAAGTTTGTATGAAAGGGACAACTGTTTGTGAAGGGAAATACTTACCGGATAATTCTCTCTTGTTATCAGTCATTCAATAAACTTGTTTCTATCATTCTTCACTAATCTTTATGGGTTAGTAGAGTTAGAATGTAAGATTCCTGGTTAGTAGACTAAGTGTAAGATGATGAAAATGAAACTAGTCCAAAATCTCATAGTTGAAGGAAAGACAATCAAAATCTAGTAAACGTAAAAAGGATAAGCTGTCATTATGTTTGATTTTCTTTTTTTTATCTGTATATTTATCCTATTACTTTCTCCAATTTCGATATTTATTGATTTTACATTTTTCATTTTGGCAAATTACACACATTCATTTAAGACATGAGTTATGGTTCTTTTTCTAAATTTATACCTCTAATTTAGTTCTATCATGTTACAGCCAAAAATGGAGTGTATACATCCCTTGTAAAGGATGTTAGAGATGCTTTTGAAGGAAGTATTTTGGTGAAAGTTAACTGCAAGGGATTGGATCCTAGTGATTACAAGAAAATAGGTGCCAAACTCAAGGTATCAACATAATGAGCTTTGTATATTGACTTGTTCCTTTTGCTCCTGTTTGCTATAAGCTTACTTTGTTCTTTTTGTACCTAATTAGTTATTGCCAAAAGTCATAAACGCTTAAAGGAATTAGAAAAATATACTAGCTTTGGAGATGAAAACATTAGATTCAATATAGTATTTGTTCGGTAGCCAATATTAATCTTTATCTTATTCCATTCAGGGATGCAAAGCTTGTCTTGTGATGCAATTTACTAAATTTGGTGGATGCAGTTTGCAAGATGTCTGTCTCTAAATGTTCTCAAAATGGAAACCTTTTTTGGGTAATCATATGACTGGATTAAAGTAATTCTCTAATTCCTATTTCAGAATAATGCAATTCAAAATTGACATACCAAGATATTGCAATTCTGTTAAAGGCCTTTCATTTATTGATATGAATATACATATACTGTTGCAAATGGAGAAAACGAAAGGATGAGTTTATTCATTGACTGAAATTGAACAGAACAAGGAGAGAAATTCTCTCCCAAGGCTTACCCCTTCATCTGTTTTTCAACTTAGCATTCTACCATGTGGGCTCATTTGCAATTCAGAGACTTGGTGCTGCAGTGCTGATATTCTGTTGAGTGACCCAGTGGAAGAATCTGGTATCAATTGGTAAGAACCTTAGAACCACACCAAAAAAGTTGGATGTTTCCGGGGTGTGGGCTGAAGGAAGGCAACTTGTTCCAATAGCCCAACCATAATCAATCAATGTGAGGGAGTCATATTTGGTGTCAAATGAAGTTTGGAAGAGGTTGTGGTGTGGGTCAATCAGTTTCAGGTGGTTATCAATCAAGCTTTGTAAGGCATCCAGTTGAGTGGCAATAGCTTGGAGGTGATCTTCCTGGGTTGATGAAGGTGGATATGGGTGGAGAGTGAGCTGATTAAAGAACCAATTGATAGAGTGCTAAAAGCAACCTACTTTACCATCCCTAACTAAAATACTACAATTAGAGGCTATGAGAAAGATGGAAAGGTAGGTACTGAAAAGATAAATATAAAAATGTTATTTTCCATTGATGACACGATGCATAGCACACCCTATATTTTAAATAACGAACTTAATGAATGAATTCCTATTAGTATCATAATCTAATTTTTAGAAATTTAAAATAAAACTTAATAATATCAAAAGATAATGTTTTAGCAAGTCCTCTAAAATCTTTGAGCCATTTAATCTTTGTTCTTTTGGGCTTCCTACCCATCCATCAGTGTCAGCTCCGGGGAAAATGAGGGACTTGTTACAATTTATTACTGCAACAAATTATGCATTGGACTTTGTTTAAAGTTTAATATCTCTTTGTTTATAATAATACGATGACACGTTCAGTTTAGGCATTGCCACAATAACTTGAAATATAATCCTGTGCTGTATGCATTTTGATCCTCTTGTGTTGCCAGGATTTGGTTCCTTGTGTGCTGTTATCTTTTGATGATGAACAGATATTGATGTGGAGGGGCAAAGACTGGAAATCAAGGTACCTGCAACCTGTTCCAATTTTTACACCTTCAAAAGCTGGTTTTACAGGGAATTCAGAAAATTCAGGTACGTGTAATAGAAAATAAATTCGGTTGAAAATGTCCTGTCCTAATTGAACTCTTGTATGATAACAGTATGCATACATATTTGTGTATAATAATTATGAGGTATTCTTAGTCAAGAGTAAAGAACGTGTGCAAAAATGAGAGTTCCCAATATAATCCTAAAACGGATAAGAAAAGCTTAGAACTGAGTAAAATTCAGCAATAAAACCAATTAGTATTTTATGTTCACTGTTGATTGTAAGCAATCCTAGCTCTAGAAAAGAAATGGTTAGTTCTTAAAACAGATTAGGAGTTTAGGACATGCATTTAATGCAATTCCCGGCTGAGAATACTCCAATAAGGTACTCAAATGTCTCTCTAATGGATCTCAATGATGGAGTTTATTATACAAATTTAAGGAATGACTATTGACACATATATATTAGAAAGGCATTTGCATCGAGGTTTCATGAATTTTCTCGAGCTAATTGGAAGTTTGGGGATAGTTGAATTACCCTCGAGTATAGTAGATTGTATGCTATGGGGAAGCTTGTACAATTGTTTGGCTACCTTTATCCGCTTAGTTACAAATATGATGACCGCAAAAACCATTTGCCCAAGAAGTTTTGATGATAAACATCCTATGTTTGTTGTTTTTTTTTTCCTTACCGCTCGTATGTTATTCAACTGCTCTATGTTATAATGCTTCACAGCTTTCTATGTCCATATTCCTTTTGTTTGATATTGTTAAAATATATCAGTTGATAACATTGGCCGTGCAACATTGTAATGATTTGACAATGTTAATCAGGTGAGATTGATGACAACCAAACTAAACATGACGGCAACAATAACAATGTGGTGAACTCAAGCCCAAAAATGTTGTCTCTGTGGAACCGTGCAATTGAGTCAAGCAAAGCTTTGTTGCTGGATGAATTTAATCTTGGACCTGATGCTCTCTTGGAGAAGGTGGAAGCATTTGAGATTGTTTCACAGGCGTTGGAGCACTCCCATCCTGCATTTAGTTTGTCATGTAAAGAAAATGGCTCTGAAGGTTCAACTGCAAGCTTTGAAAATAGCTCTTCTAGTGAAGACTTTCCCACTGAAGAAGACTATGGAAATGAGGATGAAGAGGATTATGATGACCACCATGATGATGCAGACCATGACTCGTATGATGTGGTGGACAGATCAGCTCAACCCGGATCATTAGGTGTTGATATGATTTTGAAAAGGCTAAAACAAATACCATTCGAGTAAATACTTAATTTGTATTCAGAATAATAGCAGGCACGAAGTGTAAAACTACGTGTAAAAAAAAAGAAGAAGAATGCAGTCATCTCATCCCAAAATAAGTAGGTCTGTCAAAAAAATAAACTGAAAGACATCTAGTAAGTTGCATGAAAAAAAAAGATTTTTTAATAAAAAAAACTAAATTGCTATTTAAGTTTAATATTTAAAAACTGAATTGTTTCTAAGTAAATTTGTTTAAAATGAATTATAACTTGCCCTGCTGAAAAAAAATTATGTTCGTTTATAGTACTTTAAATAATTTAGATAGTTCAAACAATTTAAAAAACAATTCAAATTAATTCGGTTCTTATAATTGTATAATTATAGTTCTTGCATTTTTTTCTATTATTTTTTATTAACTAAAAAAAATCAGTTTTTTCAACTGATTAAAATAGATTAATAATTTTTTTATTTGACTTATTATAATCCAAAGGTGGAAACTAACAATTGACTGAGATAATGGCCAACCAATTTACAATTGATTTGCAAAAGACTTACCACAACACCACAACTTTTAATTCCCAGTAGCATTGAAATTTTCAAATGAAGAGAATTGTAAGTCTTTCATTCGAAATTGATGTTCTGAACGAACCAAACTAATCTGAGCAGTTTATTCTCTTCACGAGAACTTTGCTTTACCAGTGTGAAAGACCGAACAAACTCAACTCAACTCAAGTCAACTCAGTAAATGAATAAAATAATAGGCACCAAGAATTTGGTAGCATGCATTAACCTGATGCGTGAGACTGAATTCAGCTTTAAAAAGTTGTCAAATTGCTAGAAAAAAAAGTGTACATTGTGTTTATCTGCTCTACTTCTCTTCCTTTGTTAAGAAAATCTGATCATCCAACAAACCCAAAAAAAGATATGCTCTTCTTATATAATTGTCAAATTCCTTGTTCTTTGGTTATACTCTTCACACAACTTGATTCCTCCTCTCTCTTTCTTTCACTCACATAAAAGAACAAAGCAAAGTATCTTCTGCCCTCTAAATTTTACTTGTTAACAGTGATCTTCCCATCTAGAATCACCCCTATTTTGATTTTGTTTTTTCTTCAATTGGGTCAAGTAATGAACTTTTTGGACACTGGGATGAACCCATCTCAAGTAAGGAATCTACATTTTATTGGGTCTAAAAAGTTTATCAGCAATCTTGTTATGTGTCTAACCTTAGTTTATACTCATTTTCTCATCCAACTTGAGTTTCAAATTTCTGAACAACAATAATCGTGTCAAAATTCTGCTTCAGTTCATGTAGCTGATAGTACATTCTTTTCTAAGCATGTGCTAGTGGTGACTACTTTCCTATATACAATCCATTCTTTTTAGTTCCCATTTTTTGGATGCATGCATATCCTCTGTTGCTGGTGGAATTCATCTCTTTCTTTACACATTTGCAAGTTTGGTTATCTTTGTGATCTCTCTGTAGAATTTTCTTAAATTTTCTATCCTGCTGTTATGGTATTGTTGAAGGAACTGAGTGTTATCATTGAAAAGGATGATCCCATGCATCTGTGCTTAGTGTTTTAAGAAATTCATCAAGAAGAAGCATTTATTTCTGAAGCAATTACAGACAACTCATGAGTTTCTTATCTTGGCCTTCTAGCCATTCATGGCAACCCACCATGAGTTCAGACACCACTACTCTTAGTTATTGGTTGAATTGGAGGTTCTTGTTTTGTGCTCTATGGATTTTAGGATCCATGGCTCTAGCATTTTTTTTAATATTCAAGTATGAAGGATTCAATAAATCAAGATCAAATAGTGGAGAAAATGAAGGAGAAGAAGCCGGACTGTTACATGAGGATGAGGCATGGAACACCTGTCTCGAAGGAATTCATCCTTCATGGCTGCTAATTTACAGAGTAATTTGTTTCATTGTGCTTTTGGCTTTGATCATTGCCAGTGTGGCTGCAGATGGAGGAGCCATATTTTACTTCTACACTCAGTAAGCTACCTTCATTAACCCTATTTTTTTATCTTTTCTTCTTCAATCATAAAATGTCTTAAAATTACATTCTTATAAATATTATATTTTTTTATTTTGTTAAAATATATAAATATATTATAATATTATAATTTAAACTATAAATATTAATATATTAAAATATTGATTATAATTAAATATTTTAATACTTTCAATTTATTTAATAAAAATATTAATTAATGAATAGAATTTAAAACTTATTTATATAATTAAATGTATTTTTTTAGAAAATAATATATGTGTTTTTTTTAATATTCTAATAGTTTTTTTTTCTTGTGCTCACAGATGGACTTTTACATTGGTCACACTTTACTTTGGGGTAGCTATTCACATTTCGATCTCTTATAAATTGTAGCAAAAATGTAATATGAAAATTTGAAAATGCACTATATAGTAGTCTTTTTTTTCTTTAATTCATATATTCTATAATTAAATTGAGTTTCAGATGGGATCATATTTCTCGTTATATGGATGCTCCCTGGAACAAAATAAATTTGGGAGCAACACACTGAATTTAGACGCAGAAGTTGGCATTCCCACGCATCATCGCAAAATTGCTTCTTTATGGGGTTATGTTTTTCAAATAATATTTCAGGTCATTCTTTTTCATCTTTTTTCCTATCAAACAAATTACAAAAACATTTTCTTTTATTGTTTTTTAATTGTGTGATTAATTATTTTTATTTTTTTACATTTTCTTTTAAATATATAGACTTGTGCAGGTGCCGTAGTGCTAACTGATTCAGTGTTCTGGTTCATCCTTTATCCTCTTCTTACCTCCAAAGATTACAGTGTTGATTTTGTAAGTATCATCAACATTCTCCTTTCTCACTCTTTTTTTTTTTTTTTTTTTAAATATCATTTATAAGAGAAATAATTGTTTTTTTATTTACGCGTCCAAATTCTAATTATAAAGTTAGGTTGGTAGTTTGCTACCATAAAATAAGTTATTTTTCTTTTATCTAAAATTATTTGCTTTTTATTTTATTTTATTTTGCAGTTGATATTTTGTATGCACTCATTGAACGCGCTTTTTCTCCTCGGTGACACTTCTTTGAATTGCATGGTGAGTTTTTCGTTTATGTGCTTTTTTATTATTATTATTTGTTTCCGATCTTGAAGTTATTTATTATTTTAGGATTAAAAGATGTTCTGTGAATATTTTTAATTTAAGAATAACAGGGTATTTATATATCCAATTTTTAATATCTATATAAATTTTAGATATATTTAATAAAATTATTACAATAGTAACTTCTTTATTATTATTATTTTTTTTTAATCTATATGAAAAATTAAAATTGACAACTATTTATTCTTAACACGTGCAGAGATTTCCAATGTTTAGATTTGCATACTTTGTCTTGTGGACAGCTACTTTTGTGATTTTTCAGTGGATCATCCACGTTTGCGTTTCACTTTGGTAAAACCTCGTATCCTTGGTTTTATGAGTAATTGTTTTTGTCGACATTTATGAGTAATTTTTTAATAAAATAGAATGATCCCTTTTATAATTTGATAACCTTTGTTACAGGTGGCCCTATCCTTTCCTTGACCTATCATCCTCATATGCACCCTTATGGTATCTTCTCAAACTCTATTTCTTACAATTGCTCAAATCATTGTCCTCTAATTGTTTCATCAACTTGAACTTAGTCAGGTTTATGAGCCTTTTTTTTGAGAAACAGATACCCATCAGTCAGGTTTATGAGCCTTTTTTTTGAGAAACAGATACCCATCAAAATAGACATTGGAACAAGAAACCATTCTGGTGTAGCATTGCATGTTCATTTTATCTGTTACTGAATACAAAATGCAGCCACTGAAAATGAAATTACTGGAATGCTTATAAGGTGCTCTGTTCAAATTCAGGTACTTGGCTGTGGCTTTGATGCACTTTCCATGCTACGGAGTCTTCGTTTTGATAGTGAGGGTGAAACAATTGTGGTTATCAAGATCATTTCCTGACTCTTCCCGGTTTGAAAGGTGACAACACGTTACACATTATTCAACTTGGGATGAGGGCTACTTTTTGTCCAACAGAAGTGATTTTGAAAATCAGAATTAGATTATTTCAATAGTTATTTGAATTCATCCTCTCACCTTGACCTACTACTACAAATATTAATATCCGTGCATGTTAGATTTGAATTTATTCAGGTCAAAACTAGAAGCAGGTTTTTGTAGCTTTTATATCTTTTAATTCAATTGATGCAAATATGTATGATGTGATTTGAAATGTTGCTGTATACATGTAAAAAACAGAGAGATAATATTGCATAATCAATGCACTTGAAGGTTCTTGTAAGGATTAATTCTCTTGAGAGAGAGGTCCAACTTTTTCACACTTAGATAATTATCAAAAATATTTTGTGAAACTTAATATGGTGTTTTCCTACGATGAAAATTTCTTTCTTTGAGGTCTTCCTCTTCTCCATTCAACTTGTCTCACCTTGGCATCATTTTCATAATTCCTATTATGGGATTCCCCCAGCGTAGAAAATTGAGTACTCTCCACATATCCCCACAACTTCTTTCATAACCTAAACCCAGTCTCAAATTTAGAACATCTAGAACTTTCATCAAATTTTGAAACTTACTCCCCAGCTGATATTGTTCCATGTTTCAAATCAAGGAACTCGACTTGTTTCCTTTGAAATCTTCTAGAAAATACTTCTCCAAAAACCTTTATATGAATGAATGAATATTCAATGATTATTTAGTGTCCAACGGTTGTTTGGTATACCTTCCCAAGGTTCAGCTTCTCCAGCAAACAGAAACATAGCATTTGTCACCTTGTGTGCACCAATACACACATTGATAGTAAAAAACTTGTGAATGACCTCAATCCAGAGTTGACTTTACTTTGGTCAATTCTTCTTTTGAATTGATGGATCATTCTTCTCAAAGGATATTTTTATATATACTGGTTCAATTTCTTGTTCTTATTTCATAACTTCTAGAGCAGTAATAAACTAGTGCCTAAAAATTGGCTTGATCAATAAGATGAATCAGAAATTGGACATATCCCCTTAGTTATTTCACTATTTCATGATCGACACTAATTCATACATTAAAAGGTTGTTCATTCAATTCATCATTTTTCGGGAATAACAACCTTCTACTAGTGTTTTTAAAATTTATTGAAAATATTTCATATTTTGCTCACTAATGACTTATAGTATCAATGAAAAATAAATTATATATATATATATATATATATATATATATATATATATATATGTATGTATGTAAAAGAGTATTTATTAAACATGCACACAATCAAGTCAACATGTCTATATAGGTAACAAACACATTTGATGATTTTAAGATTATTAGATATTAATTTCTTCAATACATAAGAGTATTTAAAATGGTATATATTCTCCTATTTAACAAGGTAAATTTTAAGAGTTTATCTATTATTAACAAATACATGTTTTGGATAAAGAAAAATAAACCTTCCTTAACTCTCTTCACATGATCCATTTATATGTATAATTTCAGTAATTAGTAAAGTTAATCTCTAATTCAATATGCACATACTTCATCATATTGATGTTGAAATATAGTACAACAATCATTCGTTTCTTTCACAAAATACAATTTTAAATACAAACATATATTTACCTTTCAATCATATGGGATATATTTAGATTTAGATGCAAATTAAATAATTATATTCATCATATAAAAATAAAATTACTCAAAATTTTATACCATTTATCAAATATTCTTGTTTCAAGCAAAGTCTCGTTCAAGGTGTTCATTTTTTTCTAAAATAATTTCATTATCATTTAAGGAAGACATCACCTTATTTAAGCAATAAGTAGTTTGCTTAAGCATAATCAAAATAAAGTTAAGTCTCATTCCTATAGTAAGTGAGAAATTTTTGCTTGAACAAAAATAAGACAATAAGACCGAGACAATTTTTCTTCTTCAATAGTCTTATTAAACAAGCGACCATATTAATATTTAAGCAAAAAGACTCCAAAGAAGTATCCTTACTCTCTGTTGGACTTCTATTTAAACAATAAAGTGTTAGTTGAGTGAATTAAGAAGATATTAATAAATATGTAAAAAGTATTAATCAAAGTCAAATCCTAACATGTTCTTCTACTATTTTCACCAAAATAGGTTATAATTGGATCAAACTAATTTTTTTTTCTAATAGAAAAAATCATGCATCAACAATTTACAATATAATATCACTATAATAAAAAAAAACTCACCTTTAAATACAAATATTTATGTTTTCACACATATCTTACTATTTATAATACACACTTCAATTACAAACTCTAGCTCGGATCAACCTTTAATTACTTAAAAATAAAAAAAGTAACTTTTTCATAGTTAAAAATAGGATAATTAAGTCCAATAAAAATTTTACATAAGAGAGGTTAAAGATAGAAGTTTGAAATTCTAAAAAGAATCTAAAAAAAATAAGAGAGACGTTTGAAATTCTGAAAAAATGAGTTTTCCATATATAGTAATTTATTATAAATGATAAACTATATGTTTTTTTTTATTTATAACTTTTTAAAACTAATAAATTATTTTTTTTATTTAATTAATTATTTTTACACCCTCAAAATTCGTTCTTTACATATGTATTACAAATTCGTTCGATTTTTTTTCTTCCACGTGTTATTTAATTTTCCATTGTTCATTGGTTGATGTACACTCTTTTTTAGTTTTGTAGTTTTGTAATAAAGTTAATAGTAAATTAATAGATTTATTTATGTGAATATATATTTATAGTAGATAAATTTTAAATTAGATTAAATGGGTTAACTTTAATATAAATTGAATTTCTTGATTATATTATTTTATTAAAAAAATTGTATCTTAAAGAATTTCAAAAATAAACTTTAAATGGAGGGGTTATATTACTAATCTTCCTCTCTTCCTTCTATTATCACTTTCCCTACATGCAGTACTTCCTTATTAAAAAGAAAAATGGCATTAAAAAAATAGAATAAAAAAATTAATTAACTTAAATATTTTTAGAAAAATGGCAATAAAAAAATAGACTAAACAAACTAATTAAATTAAATATTGTTAAAATTTATTTTTTATTCAACTGAATAATTTTTTAAATTGAAAATAAGAATCAAATCAATTTGAATTAAATAATTTATTAAATATTATATATATATATATAATTAAAACTAATAAATAATATATATATATATATATATATATATATATACACTTTTATAATATATTTATATTTATCAAAACTTGATGATAAATTTATATTATAATTTTTAGTTATAGAAAATTTAAGAATTTATAAATACAATAACAATTATAAAGAAAACAGCAAATTATTTGACAATTTTTATAAAAAAATATTTTCAAGTTTTTAAAAAATATTTTATAATTTTATAATAATAAAAAACGCAAAAATGATTAAACCAAACTGTTAAATAACTTATTCAAAATAAAGCCACAATAAAATAATTTATGTAGTTTACATTTATATTAAATTAAACAAATTCAACCAAATTTTAATTTTATGTTTAATTTAAGTTATAAGAATTTACGATAGTTTAAAGAATATTAATAAATTAAATAAAGTAAAGTTTGAAATTTTTATAAAATAAAAATAATTTAAATGAAAAAAGTATTTCAAATTTTATCTCTAAAAATCATTATGACTTCAAATTCCTTAATTAGATTTAACTATATCTTAGTACTTTTGATAAGGGAAGAAGAGTTTTACCTACTAATTTTTGTTAGTAAACTAAGTTCTCATTATTCTTTTTGGGTGGGTTGTATATGGGATTCGGAATAACATATATCTTAGAATTTGTGTCCATATATCAATGTTTGGGCAAGGAAATATTTTCTCTAACCTAATATCTTTGTTTTGTATTTGATTTGTTGACTTAGGTCTTTTGAGGGAAAAAATTTGAAATCTAGGTTTTGGATTTGAAAAATTTAAAAAGATTTTTGTTAAGAATAGCTCAAATTGATAAGAAAGAAAATTAGTAATTTGATTTATTCAATATATTATGGTGACTTCATCGTGAAATGTATGTAAAATTAAGTGATTTGTTTGATTTAAGATTGAGAATTGGTCTTGAAGATTACACACAACTATTATTTCTATAATTTTCGCTTAAATGATATTTTTTTGTTTAAGTGTCAAAACTTTCAAATTAAGAAAAATGGTTTTAGATTCATTTTTCTCGAGTGAGATTTTTTCGTTCGAGCAAAATAATACAATAAGACTTTCTCACCTAAATAAGAGACCACAAGAGAGATTAAGTGTGATTTTTGTCTAAATCCAAGAAAGAATTTATAGATTAAGCAAGGATCTCTAAAAAAAACATGAATTTATAGGAAAAAAAATAAAATTTATATCCTTTTTTTATTATTGTATGTATATTTTAAAACATGAATTTAAATGAGAGAGACCAAATTAATAATATATGTATATTAAAATTAATTGTAATGTAATAAAATCACAAAAATTATAAATTATCTACCTATATTTAAGATAATATAAAACAAATATATATAAGGTCAAATATATTTTAATTGTATTTGAAGATGTTTATATTATAAAAATCATTGCATCTTTTCAATTTATTTATTGAATTTAAATATTTTAAAAACTATGGATTATTTAATTATCTATCATTTCTTTTATCTTGAAAAATAAGTTTATAATTTTTTTACATCTCTAAATTTAAACCTAAATATTTTTTAACATTAAAATAAAATATCATAAAATAATTAATTAATTGGTAAGAAATAATACTCATACTAATATGTTATAATAATGAATAAAAATAATAATAAAACATTTACTTACTTTGTTTTAAGAAAAATATTTGGAGTATTTCATTTATTTTTTAACTTCTATATTTTGGTGTTTAATGATTTATGTCTTTATTGTAAATAGAAGAGAAAAATTATTAAAAAAAGTTATAATTTTTTTATTATAGAGATGAAACCATGAAAGAGAGAAATGTG